AGGGAATACCAGTATTCCCTGACGATCCGCGTAGGTAAAACCTTGCAGATTGTTGGCATTTATTATTATTATTATTATTATTATATATATATATATATATATATATATATACTATCTCTCTCTCTCTCTCTCTCTATATATATATATATATATATATATATATATATATATATATTGATCAATATATATATTGACCAATATATATATATATGTAGGTGATATATATGATTGACCAATATATATATATATGTGTGTGTGTGTGTGTGTGCTATGGTCCAGGTTAGGACCAAGGAAGAACAATACGAACACAAGAGTAGAAATAACGAAGGTATATTACACGAAATAATAATACAAGATGTGGAAGGTGTTAGTATGACTGTCAGTTTGGTTTGGAGTGAATTACTATGTTCGACTCGATTCGGTTTTCCCCCCCCACGAGGGGTCGCTGGATGGCACAAGGCCGAGTTTAACGTGGGTTTCCTTTCCCCTTAGGATCGGCCAAAAATGCCTGTAGAACCCGTATAAACGGGATCAATTGGTCAACCTCCCGAACGAGACTCTGCCCTTCATTTATATTACCAACCAGATTCACATTTGTTTAAAGAAATATTCCCATCAATATTAAGCAGGTTTTAATCTGCTTCAAGGCTGTTCGTATCAATGAGATAGACGCTACAGAGAAATTGGCACTGTTTTGTTTATAATTTTGTTTATAACTTTTTTCTTCATATATAAGGCCATTTTGCCACGAACTGGATGAATTCATGTATGAACAAATACGTGCGTTTGATTTAAATTCAATGTAAATCTTGTATTTCAAAACATAATTTAAACTATATAATTTCTTACATTTTGTCGATATAAAACCGATAAAAAATTGAATAAATGTTAAATCTTGGTTAGGCGGGAACTTCGAATGTCGTTCAAAAAGTTTGAAGCCTCACCCAGAAAGAAGAGCCATAGCTGAACAATGTAAAACAGCGGTGCGTAATATACAGGGGATATTTTCGTCTAGAATTCCATAGCCTAAAGTCGCTGTTGTATGTTCTACTCGATTGTGTATTATAATCGAGTGCTTATTTTAAATGAATAATTACTTTCATCTTGAATTTGGAATATGAAAATCTTCAACTTGTCATCAACAGACATATTGTTCGTGGCTCAATCAGTAATTAGAAATATCTGTGAATAGGAAAATCTTCCTCGAAAATTTATTCGTTTTTTATGTGCCTTGCCTCTTTAGGACGTAGGTGATCATGACCCTCCACAGTCTCCTGCCCCTTGTAACTCTTAATAAGTTTTGTTATTTATCCCAACCCCTTTTCTACCAGCCATTTACTCAAGCTCATCAACGATGTTATGTGCTGCTTTCCTCAGTCCCTCTTTCCCTCAATCTGTCATTAGAGTATCAGGTTTTCCAAGCCCCCCCTTACACCATTACGTACCCTAGGATACCTCAAATCTAAATTGGAATGGTTCTTTTGTCATAGAACACACAGTTTATTTTAAAAGATGTGTATTGAAATAGAAGGCCAGGTAAAATTTGTTTCAGGTCTGAATAATGTGACTGAAATTATAAGAATAAAAGATTTTGTCAAAGCAAATGTTGTAAACGTTGTATCAACCAAACGAATATCGATTTAGAATTATGCGGCCATTATCTGAAAAAGCTTTTGCAAAACATTCTGAAGGTAGAAAAAAAGGCTTAAAATGCTGGCGATTTCAACGGCACTTTTAGATGAGAATACAGTTTCCATGTTTTTGGTCTTTAAAACAACGGAGAAACAAAATATTTTTTGTTTTCTCAATAGTAACTTGGGCAAGTTATAAAGAGAAACTTTGTTTTATAGAAAAAAAAATTACGTGAATTGTTTCATGTAGACTAATGTCATGCTTTTATTAAGAATGCTGTAAAGAAAAAATTAAACAGAATGTGCCCGTTTCAGTTAAAAGGGTGTTCCAACATTCGGCTTCCTTTCTTGCTTAAAAGCGAGCGCCTTTCTTTCTTTTCTTTTTTTAAGAGACGCATTAAAACCAAACTTATCAAAAGAAAGGATAAGCGATCATCTTGTCTGGCGTTCTATCTTAGCACAAGATAATCTACTTGCAAGAATATGCACTTAGTTTTCTTGTGAATATCTGAAACGCTAAAAGGGCGATTGTTTCTCTTTCGCATCTCACTCCCTCTGGTTCTTTCTCATTATGTTCCTCTTTTTGTCAACATATCTATCTATCCCTGTTTATTCTCAATCTATCTATCTATCTATCTATCTATCTATCTATCTATCTATCTATCTATCTATCTATCTCAGTTTATTCTTCATCTCTCTATCTATCTATCTATCTATCTCAGTTTATTCCTCATTTATCTATCTCAGTTTATTCTTCATCTATCTATCTATCTAGCTATGTATCTATCTATCTATCTATCTCAGTTTATTCTTCATCTATCTATCTATCTATCTATCTATCTATCTCAGTTTATATAAATATAACATAAACTTTTTGTTACATATTAATTTAACTAATAGTAATAGTAATATTAGCCGTTTCGTTATAAGGAAACCTACGGAATTCATTATCCAATATTGTTGAATTTTATGCAATTAATAATTAAACTATTATATTATAGGATAATTTTACATGTTATACATACATACATACATACATACATATATATATATATATATATATATATATATAGTATTGTAATATTTTTTGTTTAAAAATATGATTCCTTCGCTACATAAGAGTTATCATGTTTCAAAAACAAGAGCCAAAACCATCCAAATAATTATTAAAATTGAGGTGTTTCGTCCCGTTTCATCTTCAAGCGAAATATTACAATATAAGCTCTACTTCTGTATGGAGCACTGTCTTCTTAAAAATAAAAACAAAAATACTAAGGAACTCCGGATTATACACCCAACGTGTTCTTTTCTATTTTCTGCATACCTGCGCACTTATACTTTATATATATAACTTTAACTGAATTCTTCTAATTTTTTAACATTTTCATAGTCATGCATGTTAACTTGCAATAGAGTAATTCTTTCAGAAAAAGAGATGTTTGAAAAAATACGCAGCGTAGATTTGTATTTAGTTAACACTTGATAGCGGCATTATCGAGAATTTTCTATAATTTACTTTTAATAAGTGAGACATTGGTTAGATCAAAGTTGTGGTTTGAATTGATTTTGATGCGTGATTAATGAGTTTGATAAATTGTTGAGTGTAAGAGCCTTTTTCTTTTCAAAGTTACTTTTTTTTAAAACTTTGCCCAAGTTTCAACTCACTTTGGTTTATTAGGCATGAAATTACGTCACTTAGCATCCTCAGTAAGTTAACCAGATGTTAATTTATGGGCGTCTCTTGGACATAAAAGTTTTGAAAAACTAACATTTTTACTTTCATTTATAAAAATACTTGTTGGAAGAAAAAAAAAACCTTATTTGACTTGATAAAGTCCCTCAGCGGACGAAACGTGGCGGCTAAGATAAGTTTTTCTTTTTTTCTTTATTCATATTGTTGAAACTTGACTAATGCATGGAATAATAATGCAACACAAAAAGTACTTAGAACAAAATGTATTGAAATAAGAAAGTGGAACATGTGGTACAAATAATTAAACCCTTTGATCTTGTTTTATAGAATTAGATTTCCCAATAATATTGTTTTAAAATTCCAGCCACGGTAATACGCTGAAGAAGGAGAAACTACAAGCTTCGATAATTGAACAACATCACTGTTGTGCTGCATCCCGTGAGGGAAGAATTCACCAGGCTTTGATACCAGACTTCTGATAATTACATCAAGACCAAAACATTCTAAAAGACTACCATTATTAATGGAAAAAAGACTAACCACAAAGCTTTAATATTTTCCGACCTAAACAATATCTGGAACAAAAGAGAAAAACATACAAGAAAAGATGTTAAAGAGCAAAACATTAAAACTTAATCTAGGATCAAATTTTAAAACTAAGAGATTATCCATTCTACAGGCAGAAAATAGTTGCAATAGATGTTTTACTTGCACGAATTTATAAAAGTGTTGAAACTTGACTAATGCATGGAATAATAATGCAACACAAAAGGTACTTAGAACAAAATGTATTGAAACAAGAAAGTGTGCATATAGTCTTTTGTATATTCCTGGTAAGACCGTTCATGGAGAATGTGTTGACTGAGTCGCAGTCGGGCAGAGTCTCTGGTTGAATCTCTTGATTCCTCCCACTCTTCCCGGTACCAACCATATTTATATGGTCGGTACTCCACTATGCAAATTAGGTGGATCCTACCACAACACATATCGACCCTTTACAGATATATTGCAGTTATATCTGGAATCAGTTATACAAACACAGACAGACAGAGGGTGCTATGCGTAAATTGTCACCATTTTATATTTTTAATTTCGCGTATGCATGTTGTTCTTTTTTTTATTTTGTCGACTGCACAGTATAGTAGGGTCAGTTGGGCACCATCTCTGAGAAAAGGAGCACCATGATGCAATTCACTTCTCCAGAAATTTGGAAACGGCATGATGTACTGCTTGGTAATAGCGCTGTAAGCTCCATTACGAACATTTCAGAGTGATCGAGTGTCAATTTGAGGACAGTACACAGAATTCGTATTATGGAGTAAATACTACACACCCGGTGACTATAGGAACTACTAAATAGTTTACCCCGGTGACTATATGAACTAGTCTATAATTATAAATAGGTTCGAGTTGAGAAGCCTTTTTGGAGTCAGTATTCAGACTGAGTAATACAGGCGTCACGGCTAGTTGCTGAAACATTATTTATATTATAAGCGATACAAAGCGCGTTATAACCATGTAGACAAGAGATTCGAAACTCATGCGATTTATAACATTTGTGATGTGGATTAGGAAACCTTACGTCTTATAACTGTAACGGAGTATCAGGAACTCATACGAGTTGTAACTGGAGTTACAAAGATTTTGGAAACTCACACTGAGTGGACAAGTACGAAAAAATATACTTGTTGCTTCGGGATCAAGGATACGAGTGACGACAAGAATTTTAACCACGTTGGTTTAAAAAAAATCTTGTATAGAAAAAAATGACTTGGGTTTAATAAAAACAACATTATATTCTTACGAATATGAAGAAAAAATTGGCTTCGATACTTGAAATTCAACAACAACAGTAACAGTAAAAACAACAAAACCAACAGTTACTACAGCTACAAAAACGACAACAGGCGTTGTTAGATGTAATTCTGAAGAAAACAAAACATTCTTCAACGTCACTTACGCTTGACGCTGTCTAAAACATCATATCAGAATTTGCATACAATCCTTATGAGGGACTAACTTTTTTCTGCTTATTTTCGTAGATATGAACAAATATTCAGTAAAGAAAGCAGTGGCTGGGAAGATGAGAGGAAACCGTGATTATTGTTGAGGAATATAGTTCCGACAGATTATGTAAAACACTGCAGCTACATATTACCGAAAAAACCCCCAGGTGAAATCGGGTTTGAAGACACGGTACACATTCTAAAGTAAATCTTTAGTGAACACAGCTCCCTGTTTAATGCTCGTTGAAGTCACCATGAATCTAAACAAAAAAGAGGACGAAGATATTGTCACGTATGCTGGTATCGTCAAAAAGTATGTGAAAAACCTAGAATAAAAGACATTACTCCATATATGTTAACAGGGTTAATTTTTGTTCAAGGTTTGAAAGTTAAAATAATGCTGAAATACGAGCAGAAATTTTAACGAAGATTAAACAAAATATTAATATTACATTGCAAAAATAGTAGACGATTGCCAGAAAATACTAAGTCTGAAATCCGAAACTAAAGAAATTCAGAAAAAATATGCATTGATACAAGCAACGGACAAATGTACACAAAGGAGAATAAATCCTTGTTTCAGATGTAGTAAATTACGTCTTGCAAAAGACACCCATTTAGAAATGGAGAATGTTACAAGTGTGGTAAATAGGACATATAAAGTCTCACATTGCTAAACTAAACAAAGAAAAATTCTTACAGGAAGAAATGCGTACACAACATTGCGACGAAACTAATGCTCATAGAAAACAAATTTGAATGTGAAAATAAATAATGTGCAATACTGTTACTGGACACTGGTAGTGATATTTTAATAATCCGTAAAACTACATGAGTAGAAATTTATTAAAAAAAGAATACCAAAGTCGCGATTTCAGTTTCTGGTGAGAATTTCTTTTGGTCTGTGAAACGACATGCAATGTTCCATTCCGTAATATGCATGTAAAAAGTAAATGTTATGTATTAAAAATGCTACGGATTTATTCGGGACTGACTGGATGAATCTATTTGAAGTGTGGTATTTGGTATAAATGTAAGTCAACAAGCGACCATTGTAAAAAATCAGAGTGAAAATCTTAAGGAAGAATTAAAAAAATGTTTTCCGAATGTTCTGTCAAATGAACTTGTTCAGTGTTCAAAATTCAAGGCGTATTTTCAAATAATATTTCGACGCCATTATTTAAGACGAAACGAAGCGTACCATTCGCAGGATTGGAACAAGTCAACGAAGAGTTGGACAGACTCAAAAGAATTGATGTAATAGACAAAAATAACCGTTCAAAGTATGCCTCACCAGCGGTGTATGTAAAGAATAAAGATTCGTGTTTGTGCGGATTCCTCGAGAGCATTAAACAGTAGTTTCGAAACACATAAATAGCCATCACTAAGTCCAGAGGATATTCTTTCAAAGTTAAACGGCGAAAGTATATTTTCATAGCTGGATATCTCTTAAGTGTATTTGCAAATTCAGATTGAAAATGAATGTTCAGAATTAACGAACATAAATACGCACAGAGGAATATATACGTTTAACCGATTTCCTTTTTGGTATAGAGTTGGTTTATCACGTCAATAATACTTGTGGGTTGCAATTTCACAGTGACGTAACTATACAACGTTTTGATAATGTTGGACCTGTGAAAACAATTTTGGAAAAAATAAGAGAGTATGGATTCAAGCCCAGTGAAGAAAAATACGTTTTATTTTTGCCGAAAATTAAATACCTTGGTCACTTTATTGATAAAAATGGTCGACAAACAGATCCATTGAGGGAAAGTGTAATTAATAATATGCCTCCAACAACAAACGTGACTACGTTAGAAGGTTTTCTAGGACCTCCTAATTACTATCAAATATAAGTAAATGATATGCATAATTTGAGATCTCCACTGAGCGATCTACTTATAAAAAGAATAAAGAGGAACTACGATCCAAAAGCAGAAATTGTAGAAGCGTCAAATGCTAGTGAGTATCTTATTGGTGCGGTGATTTTACACAAAGACGATGGCGGTAAAATGAAAGCCTTTGCTCATGCCTCACGTTCGTTTCTTCCAGCAGAGAGAAATTAGAGCCAGATAGAAAAAGAGGCTCTAGCAATTATATTTGCTGTGAAGAAATTTCATAAATTTATAGAAGGAAGCAATTTTAGGTTGTAAGCAGACCATAGTCC